GATATAGCAAGGAGGCCTGAAATTCACTTATGCCCAGTGACTCAAGGGTACTCGTGGCAATGTGGTCGAGTGATGAACGTGTCAAGCTCCCATTCTGCACTGTCATGGTTCGACTCCCGCTTGGGGTGTTAATAAGACCAATGCGAGGTCGAAATTGTAGTCCACTGGTGTCTGGATAAGAACAACTTTTGGGAAAGCAAGGAAATGTGAAATTGAATGGAATCGTCCGCTCCACTCATATCATTGTGGGTAAATTCTTCTTCTACCAGTCCTTCATAACCTTAAACCAAATAGGGTGAATACATCTCATATTACAGAAGAAGGCCCAATTCGTTGCACCAACACCAAAGAAAAATATATTTTAGTCTGCAAGAAGTTGAACGAGACAGTAACACCAAACGAGCCAAGAACAACTTGAATTAGCAATCGGTAGATGATGAGATCTACCAACGAATCTCTTCATCAAACATATTTTCACATGAAATGAAAGTCATACTATCGCTTACAAGCTGACCTGTATGCAAATAGGAGTGCGCAAAGAAATGCCATATACTTCCAACCTGATAATCCTCGAACTGAGAATCCGGCGTGTTGACACTCTCCTTGGAGACTGCCTTCATTGGGCGCCCAGTTGCCAGCTCGAGACTGGCCGTCTGCGAGGAGTCGGGGTCCTGTAGGCTGAGTCTGTATGGATACGGCGTATGGGCGACTTTTGGGGCTATGGCAGAGACGGTCAGCCTCTGCTGGGCCGAGTACTGTTGCGGCTGTTGGTGTTGGTACGGAAATTGTTGCTGTTGTTGTTGTTGTTGTTGCTGTAGCTGCTGAAGCTGCGGCTGTAGATGGTCTCGGGCCACTTTGTAGTCTGGACAATGTTGATCCATCGAAAGACTGGCCTGTTGTTGCTCGCCAGGGCCCGACTGATACGTCATCGAGACCCCACTCGACCGGTTGGAGTCGGGGTCCTCGCTGCATGTGGTAGCCGATTCGGCATCCGTCCGGCCCACAAACGTCAACTCTTCAGGTCCGGCCACCGCATGCACCTTCTCGGCGTCAACAACAGCCTCCCCCTTTCTGTACCTCCGAGTCGGCGACCGTGTGTCTCCGTTGGCATGACTCCAGTCTTCTGGCGACGGTGAAAAGGGAAGAGATTGCGCTGCGGCCGGAAGCGGCGGGTCTGCGGCAGTCGGAGACGCTTGGTGGGCGCCTGTGTCTGAAACCGGACCCACACCGAAGGCCTCCTTTTGGCCGGCATGACCGAATTGGGGTAGACTAGAAAGACCGGTGTGCCGCAGCAACAGAGGAGTCACGTCCGGCAAGTTCTCGTAGACGGAGATACGGTCAGTAAGCCGATGCTGCTGATGCTGATGCTGGTGTTGCTGCCTTGCAGATACAGCCTGGGTCAGCCTTCGGTTTGGTGTCTCCCGGGAGTCTGGTGGCGGCAGGTGAAGGGGACCAGATCGAGATGGATGTGTTGGAGGGAGCAAGGAGAACAAAATGGCGCAAACGAGAATGTACGCAAGTCAGTTTTCACCGAACCAGTCGACTCAAATTCGACTTGTTTCCAGGAGGCAAGAGGCAGGATACATGCATTCGAGCCCTTAATCGGCGATATGCTGGTATTGGGTCATCAAGAGGGACAGAAGTTGGCATGAAAACCTCCACCATCCTTCGAGCATACAAGCAAGTTCAAGGATCTTGTCGGTTTACGTCATCTTCGTATTGATTTGACATTTCTTGACTGTTAAAAAACATTATGGCATCATTCTTAGTTTTTGCAATTTGATGAGAAAATATAATTTCGATAAGTTTAATGTTATATTATATCAAGCTTTTTTGAAAAAATTAGATGAGGCATATGATACTGAGAGTGAAAAATTATTTAGATTTTTAGATATTAAATCTAGACTCAGACATTATTTTAGTCAGAATCTCACCTCAGAGGAATTATTGAAACTACAGAAGATGATAGACAAAATGTCAAAAAGGATATCGGACTAATTCCAAAAATGGCACCAGATGAAGCTGATTAAATATGGGATCTATAAGCAGCCCAAGGTCCAGCTATCGGGCAAAAATCAAGATGCCTCTTAATTGATGGATCTCACGGTACAGACAAGAATTGGAAATAGAGTAGTGAATCTGTCTTCCGTCCCTCTTGACCAGGAAACCACAGAG